CAAATGGTTACGAAACACCTGACGAACATCCTAGCAGCAGAAAATACCAAAATGTCGAGTTCAGTAAACAGTGAACAGACCCACGGTAATTAGCTCAAAACGTGCGACCAGTAAGGCCAACAACAATCTGCTCTTTAATGTGCCATTTTGCCACTCGCCACAAATCCAGTATTTCCGGTACAAGCAGACTGAGACCCAAATTTTTTCCTTTCCTCCAATTCACCGTGACAGATCTACTACCAAGAAGTTCCTCTCCTTCCATTTCCAAAAGGCAAACAGCGTTTTTACCTCTAGAACTTTCTGAAGGCCAGCTATACCATTGGCTCCCAACATCGAATACTGCGACATAAACACATTGCTGGGCCAAATGCTTGATGACAACGTAGCAGTTGAAGCATCATCCAGAGTGCCGGGTTCCGAATTCGATTCGCCTTCTGAGTGGGACCTCGATGCCGATGAATTTATTGCTGGCGGCGTCTCGGAACGGCCCTTTGCTGATTTCAGAAGCGCTTCACGTATTGTTTCACTACTTTTTTGAACAAAACCTGAATACTCCAAGTGCACTGAAGGAAAGAAGTAAATAGAAGTCCAAATTAGATTCCCTGCTCTAAAACAGATCTTCCAAGTTTTTTTGTTCTTTAGCTAACTGCCTTTGACTAATAGAATTATTGAACCACCGATGATTTAAGATTTTTCCTTAGACTAAATTCCATTTTGCAGAATTTCTGTATACATGGGGTCTAAGTTCGAGCACCAGTTGAAAGCAAATTTAACAAGCGGAACAGAAGGGAAACGTACGAGGGCACTGCAGCCAGTTCACAGAAGTGAATACAGATTTGAACACGCTCACTGACAGCATCAACCATTTCATTACCAATCGTAATCCCGTGTCTGACTTCGCTCTCATTTTTGTAAAGTCCCTCCTCCCCCTCCCCCTCCTCCCCCCCTCAAATTCGAGTACGGCAAAAGGAGTGACATCAAGGCATGTGTATCTGCGTCCCGGAGACAAATAATAACTGTTGTATGAGCAAAGACATGTCAAGTCAGAATTTGTGAAAGCTAACCAATGAGACTGGCTGCAGACCAGCAATCATCCTGAATTAAATCCTGGCCTCCTACGGGAACAGGAGATATTTGTTCAGCTGGCAATGTTGTCTCCGTTGCTGTTTCATCTTTGAGGGACAGATCAAGAGGCGAATCATAAGCAGCATCCGTAGCAGACTCGCACGGCGATGAACTTGCTTTCAGTGCCTGCTCATCCTGAAAATGCATGGGAAGAAGAGTCCGTCTTCACATTTATACGTGCTACTTGCAACATTCACTTCTTACTAGTGGTATTTTGTCTTCGCATTAAGGCGCTTCAACTAGCGATAGGATGGCCGAGGAATAAAATATTTGCAACATGGAAGATGCATTTTCTGCGCTCAGTTCTGTTGCACATTTTCTGCGCCCAGTTTTGCACATGCCTGATCTCTTGCTTTCACTGCTTGTATACTACAAATTGTATCAAAGGAACTGAGAATTTTGCAGATTTTTTTTCAATAAATATTCCTTTTTCCTTCTTTGCCACCTGCTGCATGCCTTTCTGCTGACGTCACGGTACTGTAAAATTGTGTGCTACAGATTAACAGTCAGCAGATACCTGACTGTATCAAAAATTAGTTGTTAAAGTTATGCAGAGACTGTGAACAATAAGGAATGAAAAGCAAAACCGGTGAATAGACAGCAGGCCTCAGCGCAATTGTTCACTATTCATCTGCACCTTTGGGAAGTCATAATTATTCAGTAATTCTCGAATTCTGAATCAGTTTTCGATTTCATCATACAAAAGCGAAATAGCGTCACCGATCACACGCATCGACTCAAACGAAAATTGCTTTTTCTTTCCAGGATAGTCCCACTTAACGCTCATACGCAAATTTCAGCGTCTTACCGATAGATTGTTGTTTGCAAAGTTTGCGCACTGTTGCGCCCAAACAGCCATAAGATTTAAAGGATCGTTGGTGGTTGCAACGGCAGCTGAATCCTGCACCGGTGTTACACTGTTCCACATTGAACGGGAGTATCGTTCACACGCTACGCTCAGTCGATTACTTCGTCGTTGCTTCGCACGAGTATTTTGAAACCACACCTGTAAATTCTGCTTCAGTAGGAACAAAGATTTCTTAGACAGTTGAAAAATAGATGTGGGAAAGCTCAATTTATAGATAAACTGCTTTTCGGTTCAAACGACAAGTGGAGAATGAAAAATTTGTATAATGAGAATTTCATTCATCATGTGTTCAGTGGAAGAGGTAGTGCTTTTCACAACTACGGTAAATAGCAACGCGCACCAGGGTGGCAGATGTGATCATGCGTTCTGCGCTATTCCGTAGGGCGAACGTTCACCTGCTAAGGATTTTCACTGTTTTACATTTCTGCCTGTGTAAAAATAGTCATTATATTGCGCAATTCCTAAGCTGCGAAATTTCCCACTAAAGATTTCACGTATCGGTACATGAGACGTCGGCATGCGTGGAAGCTCAGCCTGAAACTTTGACAACGAACATTCTTTCAAAATGTCAACCTCCTAGTTTTCTGGCTTCCGAGTGACTTCGTGCCAAAACTTTTATATGGTCGTACACTGATCTTC